GTTTTTCTTTTTTTCCTATTAACCTTGCTTGATATGGCTGCTGACTCATACACGACCCTGAATTGGGGCACACACCTCAGTTTGTTGCAATTTTCACTAAAACCTACCAAAAGCAGGTTCATGCTAACATGCCAGGCTGCAAACTCGTGCAGCTCAGAAGGAGATGCATGTTCAGCCACTTACTGCTGGAGACACGGTAACCTTTGGGAGAAGAGGAGGGCAAGCAGCTGGTGAAGGAGATTACAGCCTCAGACATCCCGCAGTAATTGGCCATTGTTTAAGCATCGCAACTCTGTGGAGACTTTTTTTTTCTTTTTTGGTTGCAACCTGTTGGATTTAAAATAACTAATTGCTTGCTTACAACCACCTGACGTGCATCAAACATCCCCAGAATAAGTCTGGACGTGGAGACTTTTTCTTTCTTTTTTGGTTACAACCTGTTGGATTTAAAATAACTATTGCTTGCTTACAACCACCTGACGTACATCAAACATCCCCAGAATAAGTCTGGATAGAGCATCAGACACGTGTTGGTTTTAGGACCAATTCTGCTCCTGCCCACTAGCTTTTATTCCGTTGCCTTCTGTGCTTCTTCCTTCCCTGCCATGGAGGTCTCCACACCTTCGCTTCCTACGGAGCCCTGAGCTTCTCGCACTGCCACCCGGGTTGCACTCGCACCACTCCTCACCCCGTTGGCACGAAACGTAGCACAGGCTTCTGACTCCCCAGGAAAACGACCCGAATGTTTTCATAGCCAGAATTTAGCGTCCCCACACACAAACGGCACAGACGCGGGGAGAGAGCAGCCCTGCCCCGCGCCCAGGATGGCTGCGGGCTCGGGAACAAAGCGTTATGTCAGCTGACGCGCACTCGGTAGTGCATTCCCTAATATAAATACGGCGCAAAAACCCGGCATCCGCGTGGAAAGAAAGGAAGGGAAGGGGAAAAGCAGAGCCCGGGCAGGGAGATGCCGCGAGCGGGCAACGAGACGCCCGCGCTCCCTTCCCAAGGGCAGCCTGGGCGAGGGGGG